ATACACAGCGCTGATGTTGTTGTAGGAAGCAGCCAAATGGGGATGATTCGGAGGAAGGACTATTTTGCCAGATTTCAAGTGATCGCTCATAGGATGAAAGTGCTTTCGAGTACTCGCCCATATTATACTGCATATTACCGATGTTATTGTAGCAGTTACCCATGTCTGGATGATTCAAAGTGAGAGCTAGTTTTTGGATTGGGTGTGGGTGTGGGTGTGAAGTTTCGATATGGACATCTCTACATATCTCATCCACACCCACACCCACACCCACACCTATACACCCACACCACACCCGCACCCACACGCCCACACCCATACCCACACCCATCCACGCACACCCCATACCCACACCCTCACCTTCCTACTGATTATTAATGTTATTATTATTAATAGACAGATTATTGTTATAGCACAGTAGATTGTTTTGTCTTGAATTTTCGAGTTCTTGATAAAACATAAAGGTTTACTCTATCTTGAGAGTATCAGAAATCACGCTATCTGAAGAGATTCCGTTGTCAGTGGAATGAGAACCGGTCATGGCTACTCATACTCACACCCTCATCCTTGATTTGGTTTTCTTTCGAGAATCGAACTAGAGATCTTGCCGCTTGTCGATCTGCCTGAGTTGCAGTGAAACACGTCGCAGTAGCTCATACTCACCCTCAAGATAATAAAAGTACGAATGTATGTCGTGCTTCACGATTACCAATGACGAATGAGTAATCGATATTTCATAAATTTTTTCAACATATCCTCTCTTGTTTATGATCAAACTGATAAATATGAAAAACTTCAATTCTCACAGAAGTCTCGTTGGATTTGAATATAGTCATCATTACGATAGAAAAATTATCATGTTATTTTCGCCAACACGATGAAGATCATTGTTACTATTGTGAAGAGAAGTGAACTTGTGCCGAAAAAATTCATTTGTATCCAGTTCATGAAAACAAGTATTAATGACAGTAATAAAAATTTTCTACGCAGCGTAATTAGTTGAATTGATGATAATGATTGTTGTGAATGCGAGTTTTCGCCTATTTGATTGGAATACAATTTTGCTGTTACAGTTTGTGCTGCCCTACGCTGACAGTATTCGACGAACAAAAAACGTATAATTGGTATTGGCGTACTATTGAGTAGATAACGTTGCCGGCTTGATAGCCAATTCCTATTCAGTACCACAGTTTTAATATCATTGTAGAAATAATCGAAAATAATACGAAGATCAGTTCCATGTCCACAGCAATATTCTTGAATTAACTCAGGAGTTAGATTGATGTCGTCATTATTAAAGGATGAACCGAGCATGCGTTTGAGAAAATGATTAATCATTCGATCAGCAAAAGATCTTCGCAGTCGACAAACGATATTATGATGATCGTGTAAGAAATGCTCATATTTCATGATCAAATTTTGGATATCATCATCTGCAGTTTTATTATTTGATGGGATAAGTTGACCAGTTGAAATTCGATGAGAAGCAGAGGAAGGCTGGTTCAAGGTCGTTTTGGGCATTGGACGAAATTCATTGGGAAACGATGTCAGAAAATCGTGTTCATTTAGGCTTCGTAAGATTTCATCATCAATTTTACTCGATAGAGTATGACGACAATTGTCTGAGTCGTTCATTTTTGCCGAGAGAAAACCAATAATGGAAATAAAGTTGCGACGAGAGATTGTGTTATAGACAGTATTGACATAAACTTCTTGCATTCTTCTTCCATTTTACTTCCACAGAAAGAAAAAGCAAATAAAGGTAGGAAAAAACCCACCATGCAAGAGTGTTGTGCTGAATAATGCAACACTCTTGTCAGCGATTTTTATTTCATCATAACTGAAAAGATTATATGAGCCACATTAAAACAATCAAACTTTTATTATAACAAAAAAAATTGCACGTTCAAATGAATACTCAATACAATACGGAGATCATCAAAAAATTCATTCAAGGTCGAAGAGAACTTGTCCTTCGTATCATTCAAATTGCCGATAAACTTGATCAACATCATCGAAATGTCAAGATTACAAAAGTAGTAACCAATAGTACTGGCATTTTTGGTGGTTTAATCGCTTTGGGAAGTGTCTTGTTGGCCGTGCCAACTGCCGGTCTTTCTCTCACGGCTTTCGTTGGTGGAGGTATTTTGGCAACAGCAAGTACGATCGCTCATGTAGGCTCAGATATTGTCGAATATGTTCTTAGTCGTGCCAACTTGGATGATTTAAACATGCTTTGTAAGACTGATGAAACAAACTTTCTTCAACTAAACCGTTATGTCAACGAACAAATCGACAGACTACAAAATGAGAATTCGTCTGAAACGACAATCTCTTCAACAACATCCACGATAGCTGCGCAATTGACAACAGTAAATCTCGCATGTTCAATTGTTCGAGTTACCCAAGGAGCGACGTTGACAGTCAGAACGATACGAGTCATCGGTCGTGCATCAATATTTTTGAGTAAGTCATCGACATGTTATTGATTTCATAGGATTGAGATGATATGGTTACTTCTGTTGAAGATGGGATCACTCTGCCCTTGGCAGTATTTCATCTTGCTGTGAATGCTCGCAAACTTCGCCAAAATCAGCCGTGTAAACTGTCTCTCAAACTACGTTCACTTGCAGATAATCTCAGTAAGCAAATGTTCAACATTCAACAGCATCTTCAGACCCATTTAGAAAGAGAAAATCAAGCCGAACCAGTATTGAATTACCAGAACAGTATTCTTTACAACAACGTTTTGAAACCTTTTTTGATAACTTGTATCCTGGGATGGATTCTTATTAGTTTTTTGAACTTACGTCTCGTCTTCTTCGGCTTATCGATTTTAGTAGCTTTTGTTTTTAGCGTTTGTATTGGATCTTTCTTTTCTTCTCGACATCAATAATATAAAGTGAAAATGAAGGATAGAGTCGTACTCAACGTAACGACAATGTCTCTTCATAGAATTCTCTGATACACCTTGAAACTATTCTCATTGTTGCTTGATTCGACACGATCGTCTTGTAAAATTCAATTTCGACCACAAAATTTATGATGTAATCGTATGTGTCCTTCGAAGAAGTCTTACATTAATTTCGACTGGAGATCAGTAATCTCTCAGAAAACCGTTGACTGTAACAAGGCAGTGACTGAAGAAAATAAAATAATGGAAGTCCTCTGAATGATGTAGAGAATTTTTCTCCTCATTTTCAGTAGTGTCAAACTTGAAACTTGAATTCAATTGAAATTTCAAGTTTCAACTGAAATTTCAACAGAATTCAGATTTCAACTTTCAACTGAAATTTCAACAGAATTCAGATTTCAACTTTCAACTGAAATTTCAACAGAAATTTCAACAGAATTCAGATTTCAACTTTCAACTTTCAACTGTCAAGTGAGTTTTGAATTTTAATCTTTCAACTTTCAAGAGTTTTCTAGGAAGTTGTTCAGTTGTGAACAATTTTCACATACACAACTTGGAAATTTATTGATATATGATTTTTTATGTTTGTGTTAGAGAAAACTAATTGTGTCAATAAAATTAAATGAGCAAAAATTCTTTTAGTGTTATACGAAGAAGAGTCAGTTGTCACAATGATGAATGTAGAATGGCTAAATATTGTGATATTGATATTCTTGTGATGGAAGAATTTTCCTTCTTGGTGATGTGTATGGTGATGTTGGTTTTTGGATTGGTTCGATCACAACAACGAACCGAAACTGCAGCAAGTAACGTTTTCTTAATACCAGACAAAACAACAACAGAGCATTTTACAAAGCAACATACATTTCAAGTTAAAAATAAAAACAGAATCGAACCAATCCAAAAACCAACATCACCATACACATCACCAAGAAGGAAAATTCTTCCATCACAAGAATATCAATATCACAATATTTAGCCATTCTACATTTTGACAACTGACTCTTCTTCGTATAACACTAAAAGAATTTTTGCTCATTTAATTTTATTGACACAATTAGTTTTCTCTAACACAAACATAAAAAATCATATATCAATAAATTTCCAAGTTGTGTATGTGAAAATTGTTCACAACTGAACAACTTCCTAGAAAACTCTTGAAAGTTGAAAGATTAAAATTCAAAACTCACTTGACAGTTGAAAGTTGAAAGTTGAAATCTGAATTCTGTTGAAATTTCTGTTGAAATTTCAGTTGAAAGTTGAAATCTGAATTCTGTTGAAATTTCAGTTGAAAGTTGAAATCTGAATTCTGTTGAAATTTCAGTTGAAACTTGAAATTTCAATTGAATTCAAGTTTCAAGTTTGACACTACTGAAAATGAGGAGAAAAATTCTCTACATCATTCAGAGGACTTCCATTATTTTATTTTCTTCAGTCACTGCCTTGTTACAGTCAACGGTTTTCTGAGAGATTACTGATCTCCAGTCGAAATTAATGTAAGACTTCTTCGAAGGACACATACGATTACATCATAAATTTTGTGGTCGAAATTGAATTTTACAAGACGATCGTGTCGAATCAAGCAACAATGAGAATAGTTTCAAGGTGTATCAGAGAATTCTATGAAGAGACATTGTCGTTACGTTGAGTACGACTCTATCCTTCATTTTCACTTTATATTATTGATGTCGAGAAGAAAAGAAAGATCCAATACAAACGCTAAAAACAAAAGCTACTAAAATCGATAAGCCGAAGAAGACGAGACGTAAGTTCAAAAAACTAATAAGAATCCATCCCAGGATACAAGTTATCAAAAAAGGTTTCAAAACGTTGTTGTAAAGAATACTGTTCTGGTAATTCAATACTGGTTCGGCTTGATTTTCTCTTTCTAAATGGGTCTGAAGATGCTGTTGAATGTTGAACATTTGCTTACTGAGATTATCTGCAAGTGAACGTAGTTTGAGAGACAGTTTACACGGCTGATTTTGGCGAAGTTTGCGAGCATTCACAGCAAGATGAAATACTGCCAAGGGCAGAGTGATCCCATCTTCAACAGAAGTAACCATATCATCTCAATCCTATGAAATCAATAACATGTCGATGACTTACTCAAAAATATTGATGCACGACCGATGACTCGTATCGTTCTGACTGTCAACGTCGCTCCTTGGGTAACTCGAACAATTGAACATGCGAGATTTACTGTTGTCAATTGCGCAGCTATCGTGGATGTTGTTGAAGAGATTGTCGTTTCAGACGAATTCTCATTTTGTAGTCTGTCGATTTGTTCGTTGACATAACGGTTTAGTTGAAGAAAGTTTGTTTCATCAGTCTTACAAAGCATGTTTAAATCATCCAAGTTGGCACGACTAAGAACATATTCGACAATATCTGAGCCTACATGAGCGATCGTACTTGCTGTTGCCAAAATACCTCCACCAACGAAAGCCGTGAGAGAAAGACCGGCAGTTGGCACGGCCAACAAGACACTTCCCAAAGCGATTAAACCACCAAAAATGCCAGTACTATTGGTTACTACTTTTGTAATCTTGACATTTCGATGATGTTGATCAAGTTTATCGGCAATTTGAATGATACGAAGGACAAGTTCTCTTCGACCTTGAATGAATTTTTTGATGATCTCCGTATTGTATTGAGTATTCATTTGAACGTGCAATTTTTTTTGTTATAATAAAAGTTTGATTGTTTTAATGTGGCTCATATAATCTTTTCAGTTATGATGAAATAAAAATCGCTGACAAGAGTGTTGCATTATTCAGCACAACACTCTTGCATGGTGGGTTTTTTCCTACCTTTATTTGCTTTTTCTTTCTGTGGAAGTAAAATGGAAGAAGAATGCAAGAAGTTTATGTCAATACTGTCTATAACACAATCTCTCGTCGCAACTTTATTTCCATTATTGGTTTTCTCTCGGCAAAAATGAACGACTCAGACAATTGTCGTCATACTCTATCGAGTAAAATTGATGATGAAATCTTACGAAGCCTAAATGAACACGATTTTCTGACATCGTTTCCCAATGAATTTCGTCCAATGCCCAAAACGACCTTGAACCAGCCTTCCTCTGCTTCTCATCGAATTTCAACTGGTCAACTTATCCCATCAAATAATAAAACTGCAGATGATGATATCCAAAATTTGATCATGAAATATGAGCATTTCTTACACGATCATCATAATATCGTTTGTCGACTGCGAAGATCTTTTGCTGATCGAATGATTAATCATTTTCTCAAACGCATGCTCGGTTCATCCTTTAATAATGACGACATCAATCTAACTCCTGAGTTAATTCAAGAATATTGCTGTGGACATGGAACTGATCTTCGTATTATTTTCGATTATTTCTACAATGATATTAAAACTGTGGTACTGAATAGGAATTGGCTATCAAGCCGGCAACGTTATCTACTCAATAGTACGCCAATACCAATTATACGTTTTTTGTTCGTCGAATACTGTCAGCGTAGGGCAGCACAAACTGTAACAGCAAAATTGTATTCCAATCAAATAGGCGAAAACTCGCATTCACAACAATCATTATCATCAATTCAACTAATTACGCTGCGTAGAAAATTTTTATTACTGTCATTAATACTTGTTTTCATGAACTGGATACAAATGAATTTTTTCGGCACAAGTTCACTTCTCTTCACAATAGTAACAATGATCTTCATCGTGTTGGCGAAAATAACATGATAATTTTTCTATCGTAATGATGACTATATTCAAATCCAACGAGACTTCTGTGAGAATTGAAGTTTTTCATATTTATCAGTTTGATCATAAACAAGAGAGGATATGTTGAAAAAATTTATGAAATATCGATTACTCATTCGTCATTGGTAATCGTGAAGCACGACATACATTCGTACTTTTATTATCTTGAGGGTGAGTATGAGCTACTGCGACGTGTTTCACTGCAACTCAGGCAGATCGACAAGCGGCAAGATCTCTAGTTCGATTCTCGAAAGAAAACCAAATCAAGGATGAGGGTGTGAGTATGAGTAGCCATGACCGGTTCTCATTCCACTGACAACGGAATCTCTTCAGATAGCGTGATTTCTGATACTCTCAAGATAGAGTAAACCTTTATGTTTTATCAAGAACTCGAAAATTCAAGACAAAACAATCTACTGTGCTATAACAATAATCTGTCTATTAATAATAATAACATTAATAATCAGTAGGAAGGTGAGGGTGTGGGTATGGGGTGTGCGTGGATGGGTGTGGGTATGGGTGTGGGCGTGTGGGTGCGGGTGTGGTGTGGGTGTATAGGTGTGGGTGTGGGTGTGGGTGTGGATGAGATATGTAGAGATGTCCATATCGAAACTTCACACCCACACCCACACCCAATCCAAAAACTAGCTCTCACTTTGAATCATCCAGACATGGGTAACTGCTACAATAACATCGGTAATATGCAGTATAATATGGGCGAGTACTCGAAAGCACTTTCATCCTATGAGCGATCACTTGAAATCTGGCAAAATAGTCCTTCCTCCGAATCATCCCCATTTGGCTGCTTCCTACAACAACATCAGCGCTGTGTATCATAAAATGGGCGAGTACTCAAAGGCACTCTCATGCTATGAACGATCACTTGAAATCCAAAAACTAGCTCTCCCTTTGAATCATCCCGACATGGGTAATTGCTACAATAACATCGGTAATGTGCAGTATAACATGGGCGAGTACTCGAAAGCACTTTTATTGAACAAACGATCACTTGAAATTCGGAAAATAGCTCTCAATCCGAATCATCCCGACTTGGCTGCTTCCTACAACAGCATCGGTTTCGTGTATAAAAACATGGGCGAGTACTCGAAAGCACTTTCATATTATGAAAAAGCTCAAGAAATCTGGAAAAAATCACTGCCTCCAACGCATGCATATATTACACTGGTGAAAAATAATATTGAAAGTGTAAAAAAAAGGTAATTTTTTCATCTTTTCTGTTAGCCACAAAATAAAATGGACTTCTTGAAAGTTTGGCTCGCCAAGGCGAACCAGCAGCAAAATTTCAGGCACGCGCGACTAGGGATATCTTCCGTATTTTACTGGTTTGTAAAGTGGACAAACTGGCAAAGGTTAGGCAAATATACATCTATGGAAGCGTGAGTAAGTATATCCACGATTGTTATTATTTGAAGCATCGAGATGCCGACGATGAGATGGATGCTTCTAGTCATACATCCGCAGATGTATGTTGTGAAGGCATACCATCTGCGCGCCTATACGAATTGCCAACAGAATGTCAGATATTGCTGAGAAGGTTAATTTGAAATAGAGCCGTCTCTCAAGCTCCGTTAGCTCCAAGAGAGAAACTAAAGCACCTGAGCACCCCCAAACCATGGAAACGTGCCGACAGGGTGCCGAGGTGCTGAGGTACTAAGAGGACGCTAAAGCATTGGTAGTAGGGATGCAACGGTAAGGCTATCGGTGAAGCTCGGGTGCACATGAAGAACCTACGGTGATTACCAATGTATTAGCACCGCTGACTTCTCTTATCATAGAGGAATCTGTATAATGGAGAAAATAGGTCCTCGTCGTAGGGTGTGGGTGTGAATGAAGAGATAATCGACATTTACACTCACATACACATCCGTACCATTCAGTTCTCAAAATGCCCTCATTAGATAGAGGGCATTTAAATCTATATACTGACCACAAAAAACGAAAAAACTGAAAGTTTTGGGTCGCGAAAGGGAGCACCTTCTTAAGGAAAAGGTAAATCCCGTTTAATAATTTCTGTCAGATTATACAATATCATTTTGTACTGTTTTATTTCGAAATGGAACATTATCACACCTTGAGTATAGTTGACACCATCAATTATTGATGAATATACAAAGCACTTTCTACATTACAGTGCAAGTATTTTTCCAAGCATTTGGTGAAAACTACAAATAATCAATTATTTTACATCATGAGATTTATTAGACAAGACATATCTGTAACGATATGAATGTTCTCAGTGTCGACCTTCCATCTATTTGATATCTTTCTCTTCTTATACACAGCGCACGAGAGAGCAGAGAGCGAGAAAAGGTGAGAAGATAAAAATACAGAGAGACATAGATGAGCGAATAAATAACCAAGAGAGAATGATAATCAGCAAGCGAAGCGAGACAAGCAATGAGAAGGAAGAGAGAACAAGAGACTAATCAATGATGACAGTGAGAGGTAGACAACCATAGGAGGAGAAGTCTATCTGCATGAACATGCAGGTATTGGCACAATATCTACATGACTATATCTAGAAAATGCTGATGTTAGTGTTCACTATTTGAGTCAGTTGATTTGGTCGAGCAAACACTGAAAGCTCATCGGAAGTTTATTCAACAAAAGCATGTATAAATAAAGTATTTTGACGAATAATTCGACATGTAAATCATTTTGCATTTTCAAATAATACTTTGTTTAATGTCTCATAAAGATAAATCTAAACATTCTATTGTATTTTTTGACAAAACTCCTCATATATGAATTAATCTGGAAGATAAAAATGAAGAAAACTGCCATTTGTGGAACGAGTGCAAGAAAATAGACAATAAGACCAAGAATAAGTTGCCATTTATGATCTATACATTGAAGAATAAGAACTACAATAAGCATTGGTAATTTCAGTAGAATGATAGCTAATGGTGCAATAAACAAATGTTTATGTTGTCGAATTTGTTCAATTAAAACAAAATTATATGACAATGTAGTCCGGGTCTTATATTTAGGGTGTGGGTGTTGGTGGGCATGGGTGTGAGGGTAGTTCTAAATCTTGTCTTTACACTAACCCATACCCACACCTCATAATACTGTTCAATGTGAGTTTATCAACAGTTGATACTGTAATTCAGACTCACCTCCGGACGGGATACTTTCTGATTAATCTTCAGATTTTTCAGAAACATTATCAAGTATGAGTAAGATTTTTGCTTTTTTTTAAGTGTAAATTTTCTCGATATACTGCATCATAAAGGTAATATTTACCCAACGTTCATCTTGATTGTACTAGATACGAATGAGAAATATCATACAATTTTTGTCATGATTGAAAAATCTGGTCATGCACGCCTATATCTCAAATTATAATTATTCAATAGAGTAGGTGACCGTGGTGATGAATGAACTTTCAGACGAAATGAAGAAAAAAAAAGCAAACGAGAAAGTAACAAACAAATGCATACATACTATCAATATAGTGTTTTATCATGCGTAGCAAATGCAGGAAAGAAAAAGAGTCATCATTGATGCCATCATAAAAGTACAAACATTCTGTGGGTGTGGAGTGTGGATGTAGGTATCTTCAATTGCAACCCACACCCTGGTTTCGATGTTCCAGGTAGCTTTGGTAGTGCACCAAGCAGTTTTGGTAGAGGATCTGCTGGATCAAATGGCTTTGGTGAAGGACTTTTTGAAAACATTAGCGAACGGACAGTTTCCTTGATTCGCCACAGTATTCAATAAGTTTGTATGAATAATGAAGTCTTTTTGTTATTCATATTAAAATTCGGAATTAGGAGACAAGAGCAGTCTTGCATATGTTCTTAATACTTTCTTGAAAAGTTAGCAATTTTATTTTTTTCTTGATGTATTTTTTTCCTGAAAAAAATGCAAGATAAAACATTTTTGGGATATAAATCAAGT